GTGGTGTTTGTGTACTTCGTGCCTATGTAGTTTGTTAACGGACATAGCTAGCCTCTGCCTGAACGAATTCCCAATATACTAAAGAGCACCTATACCGGATAATTATTAACGACCTTGGGTTTTAATTCTGGTTTTACTTTGGAAGAATCTGTAAAAAAAACAATACCTCTCACAGGCAAATTTTGAGCAGCACTTTACCAACATTTTGAGAGGCACTTATCTGCTGGCAGTCGCATTTTGTGTGTTCGAGTTTTATTATTATTCGTTCCCGGCAATAACGACACGATACGAGTGCCATTTTGTTTATGATATCCGCACATACTTCAGTCGTTCGTCGTCGCCTAATATTGTTGCGTGGCGCTGCATTTAGGAAATGCGATGAGTATAGTCGGAAGCTTGGTCATCACTGCGACGCTCACCTATGCTGTCGGATTCACCCTGTGGAACATTGACAACGAACTTCTGCTTTCACGTCGGGTGAGTTCGGCAAGAGGTTGTCGCTAGGATGTGCGCACATCGGCCTGGTGTTACGCTGCCTTGCCTAGTGAGAGCGCGTGATGCGTGTGAATGTGTGCGAAATTTCAGCGATGGTGGAATTATTACGTTCTTGTCCTCTCCATCTCTGTTTGGTCCAGCCTTCTACCTTCTCCATCCACCTTCTCGGATCTCTTTCTCTCCCTCCTCCTCTTCTGCCTTTCCCTCTCGTCCTCTTTTTCCTCCTCTTCGTGCTCCACCATCCCCACTTCTTATTTCCCTTTCGTTCTTTTCCACCTTCATTCTTTACTTGATCTCCTTCCCTCTTCCTTCCACACTACTCATTCTTTTCATTCAATTCTCTCTCTTTTTAAATATTTTCCATTACCTGCCAATCAATGCTCATTGTTTTCCCTGCTGCAATTAATCTTCTCTCTCATCTTCTCCATTTTTCTTAACCTTCTTATACTATTTCTACTTCTCTTTCAACACCATCTTCAATTCTGCATACCATTCACCTCCACTCTCTTCAAAATCCTTTGCTCTCCCTCTTCTCGTCTCATTTACTCTCCTCTTTTCTACTATTTCCATACCTACTTCCCCCTCCTTATCAGCCTTCTTCCTGATCTATTTCCTTCACTACTTTCTCGGTGTTATCAATTTCATGCCATTATTCCAGTACTTCCTATCAATCCTACGCTCTCGTTGTTAACTTCGTCACCCTCCTTCTCCCCTTGCTATATCCTGATTTGCGAGTGGACGTGGTCAACCTGGCGCATATGCTCTTTAGAGTCTCTCTCTATATATATGCCCCAGTTACTAAGGTGATAAGGTGCACACACACACACACACAGCACACATATATATATAGTATATAATACCCACCAGGACAATTATACCCACCAGAACAATTACCCACCAGAACAATTACCCACCTAACCTTCCAATAAGGAAAAAATTCCCCCTTCCGTAAATTTTTGTCCGCTGCAATACATAATGATAATGTATGTCTGGAAAAGAGAGAAATGCCTACCCCATGTGTTCAGAGAACAGGGGCGTCGATAATTGGGAGGGGGGAGTTGCCCCTACCCCTACCATAATGACGGAAATGTTGTATCCCTAAATGATCTTGCTCTTGGCCATGTACGTTATGTTATGTAACTGTTTGTGCGTGTGTGCGTATATATGTGGCTGGCTGTGTGCGTGCGTGCGTGTCTGTGTGCGTGCGTGTGTGTGTACGTGAGTAAATATACTGAGTTACAAGAATTTATTACAAGTGTTAATGTGTGAAGTGGGGGGGGGCATGCCCCCCGAAAATCTTTTTTATTTTGATGCAAAATGGTGCAATTTGACGCATTAATTCTAAGGTCGTCTATCTGCATTTTTTCCTAGCTTATATTTTAGTAGGATCGATGATATTTATCACCAATTTGACCACATGGCAAATGCATCACTAGTTTACTGCAAAAAATATACGTACTTAATTGTCAATTTTCACAGCGTGATATATAAAATTGCTTTTAAAGGTCATGTAATCTGCCACTGTTGAAGTACTGTATATTTGCATATGTACATCCCTTCTTCACTTGTGAATAGTTATAACAATAATTTAGACAGTGCTGCCAAAAATGAAACAATGGTCATTCTGAATGCTTGTATAGGTAATGAATAAAATCATAACTGAATTGTCTATTATGAGGTTTTAAATCATTGTTTTCACATTGCATCTCTGAATGTATATACAAGATTTTTAGTTTTTATGTGATACAGGTAGTGATAATGTACATTATGAAAACACTTATAACCAAAAAGTAGGTTCAACTGGCAAACAGTACATGACTTAAAACATTGGTTAAACAAATATTTTTTTTACACTAGGATGTATTTCGTACTCAAGTTTATTCGAGTTAATACACATAAGTTTATTTCGTTATGGAGCTCATAATTATCACGAGATTTCCAATCATAGCCTTTACAAGAAAAGGTTCGATAACTTGATTAAGTAAAGAGTGTGTTTTGCTACATAGCCTAGTATGAGCATTGATGTTTCTATCTTTTTTCGGAACGTTTGTTCAAATAAACTTATGATTCATTACTTTTCATATTTAAGTTGGTCATTGTCTTTATACTTGTCCGAGTCATACCTAATTTTTCCATTATATCGCAATATATACATCGAATGATGTATTCATTAAATTCCGAATTTTAACAACCGCTCGAGGGGAGCAGACTGCAATTTCAGGCAATCGATAAATCGAACGCCTATGGTAGGATACGCGAGCGTGATGATGCGCAGATGGACTCAGCATGCGAGCGATTAGGCGCGGGGAGCGACGCTCGCGCGAGTATCGCCAGCAATGTCACGTAGGCAAAGTATTACTTAATGTACGGAAAGGTAAAAGTGGGTGTCGCGCGATGCTGCTGTTTCTTGATTTAAGCAAGTTTGCATTATGCGAATTTGCAATAGCGCGTATCACCTTAATAACAATAAATTTACTTGAAGAATAACAAGAACAACACTACAAGAATAACGCGACGCGGCGACTGCCAGGCGCGTGGCGAGCACGTAAAATAAATGTGATGTTATTCATTGTATCAAGCGACCCAGAAAATGTCTAGACATGTACGTGTGCATTATAAACAGAGGTGGAGAGGACAAGAACGTAATAATTCCACCATTGCTGAAATTTCGCACACATTCACCGATCACAGCTCTCACTAGCAAGGCAGCGTAACACCAGGCGATGTGCGCACATCCTAGCGACAACCTCTCCGAACTCACCCGACGTGAAAGCAGAAGTTGTTGTCAATGTTCCACAGGGTGAATCCGACAGCATAGGTGAGCGTCGCAGTGATGACCAGCTTCCGACTATACTCATCGCATTTCCTAAATGCACGCACGCAACAATATTAGGCGACGAGAACGACTGAAGTATGTGCGGCTATCATAACAACATGGCACTCGTATCGCGTCGTTATTGCGGGAACGATAATAATAAACTCGAACACACAAAAATGCGACTGCCAGCGATAAGTGCCTCTCAAAAATGTTGGTAAAGTGTCTCTCAAATTTGCTGTGAGAGGTATTGTTTTTTTTTTTACAGATTCTTCAAATAAAACCAGAATTAAACCCAAGGTCGTTAATAATTATCCGGTATAGGTGCTCTTTTAGTATATTGGGAATTCGTTCGGCAGAGGCTGCTATGTCGTTAACAAACTACATAGGCACGAAGTACACAAACACCACGCAGTCTGACTAAACTTACAACACTACGCTTACTCGGCTGTGTAACACCGTGATAACACTGATCTAAGTATAAATTACAATCGAAAGTAAATGAAACGAGAGAGCTCTACTCATATACACCTGCAATAATGAAGCAGCCACTCACACATACGTGATAAAACCTATGGGCCATATATGGGGCATGCACTGATTAGGTCATTAGCTAATAACATTCGCCTAACGACCAGACGCTGGCATGCACACCTGAGACTCTCATCAGCTTCAAGGCGGATGCTACTAGAACTACTGTAGTAGCTCGAGGATGGCTGTCACTCACCACCAGCTAATTATGTGCGCAGGCTTTCATTGAACACACGCCAGGCTCTATCTACCACCCGTACTAACCCGCCCCCTACTGGCAAATGGAATCGAAGCTGGGCCCAAGTCTAGACTCGCCTTCGCACGTCGTTATTAATGCGCGATCGTGTTAGCTGCCATGAAATTTGTTTCCCGGGCACTATACCGAATTGATTTCGCGTCGCGAGTGAAATTAAACTGTCTGCGCATATGAACGGCATGCCAATTCAGAGGATACGTGACAAATAATACAGGCTGTGAGAGAAACATCGATAAGTGTAATGTGCCGCTTTTTAATTACATGCCATACAACGTTCCCACAATTACCCTAGCTACACCATTCACAGTGGCCGCACATCCTACTGAGGCAGATGGGGTCGTTGTCGTATCAGGTACTACAGATATGTACCCGAGGTAGTTTTAGGTTGTTTAGTATTATGTTTATATTTTTATATGAGTTATGTTTAGCGTTAGGGTTAGGGTTAGGGTACACTTCTGTAGTAGGCCTATAAGTCTGGTACACTTTGTGTATACATATATGTACCTCGGGTACATATCTGTAGTACCTGATATGACAATGACCCCTTCAGCCCTACTGAGAGCATATCAATTTTCAATGCTTAATTAGAGAAACAGGTAATTTTACTAAGGAGACAATTACCATTATTGACTACGCATTCCTCCGACCATGTCAATTTGCTATATGTCTTATTCACGAGGCTGGCTCAGAGACTGACGTACAACTAGTCACGACAAACGAACAACACAAGTTGTGGAATTAGTTGCAAATTGTTACAATTAGTCTCTTACCTCGACACATCAATGGTCTTGTAGAGTAACGTCACCACCAGTATAGCGTAAGCAGTCTGAAAAGTATGGTAAGAGTCTACTAAGACGTACATGCTCATGCAGTACTGAGGGTTGGGTGCATACCACGCACGTAACTGTTAATTAATCAGTAACTGGTGGGGCAATCAAGGGAAGGGGAACAAGGAAGGCCAGTACAGAATCAAATTTGTTCGAATAACGAGAAAAACTAGTACTATTTCTATTGTCAATCACCAAGCTAGATCACAGACATCTCGAGATCTGTAGATGTCTAAATATACCATTAAAACGATTAGCGCAAAAAACAAACAAATAACATACCTAATATAAGGGATGAGCTACACAAGTGCATGATTAATAAATGCTATACCGGGTGAATGAATAAATGTTTGCCATACGTAATAACAGAGTGCAGTGCATATGGAATGAGATATATACCTGGCGAAAGAGAGGTGAATGGGGAATGAGACATACTATTATAAAACGAATATAATTAAGAGCATATAAAGCACGCACACGCACACATATGTACTCTGTATACACGTGTTCGAGATATGATGTATGTACTACATTGTTATTGTGACATATCCCCAGTGAACGAGATGTTAACAAGAAAGACATGGGCGGTGAGCGTGGTGTGCCTAATGAAGCTGTTAATAACCACCTATACTGATAGTAAGTGAGATAGATCTGGTGAATAAGACGGCACATGGGGGCTGCAAAATATGATGAACAAGACATATAATGTGTGTGCGCACGCGTGGGTGCGTGCGTGTGCGTATGTGGGTGCGTGTGCGTGTGTGCGTGCGTGTATACCTGGTGAATAATCGGATCCTTAATGGTGACGTAAACGACGGTAACGAAGAAGCAGTAGAAGCAGAGCAGTGCGACGAGGGAGTGCCTCAGGGAACCGCGGGGCGGCGCGTGCGCCTCAAACCTGCAACATTAACAGATAACAATAGTAACAGTAGTACTAATAAAAATATTATTAACAATAATAACAATAATAATAACAATAACAACAATAATAATAATAATAATAATAATAATATTACAACAGTATATATGTTACGTATAACAGATGACAGTTTTCCGAAACACTACATTGACATTGTACTAAACTGCAAAAATTAACATTAAACTGTTTTTCCCCCATGCAATCACAAGTAACTTTTGGTATCAATTCATTATCGCAAGTTGCTGCGTAGCCGTTTTTCATAAATTCGAGATACAATACGGCCTCAGCCTTCGGAACAACTTTCAGTTAATTTAGGCTTTATTTATGATAGAGGGTAGATCATATGTTATGTTACAATATTTAATGACAAACAACTCAAAACAGGCCTGCCTGTGTTTGACACGGATAACGCAATTGTTTGTGCTGCCCCCTTGTGGTGATGATGGCAGTTTGCGGGTTTGTAGACATAATATCAGGAGTAAGATAATATAGGTTATATTATCTTATAATATAATAAGGGCTAATAAGATAAGCTAAGGGCTAATAAGATAATATAGGCCTATATTATCTTACTCCTGATAATATCAGAAGTAGATAATAGGGGGGTTATGGATTCGGTTTGCTGGCAACAGAATAGAGAATCGTGTCGTACGTTTTAGTCTGTATCTCCGGATTGCGGGTGTATACGAGAAAACGATTTCGCATGATGCTACTAGGCGAATGTACTGTGTACGATTTGAGCTCAAGTTGGTTGTGTTACGCGTAGTAAATCGTAGGTATTCTAAGGCTAGTAAATAACGAATTTCTCTTGTTTATTGAAGTCACACTCCCTCCCTATTATCTACTTCTGATAATATTAAACTCGGGAGCTTCATGATATTGAATAACTGAAGTAAACGATGAAGATGATTTGCGCTCAACAACAATTTTTGCAGTTATTAGAGATGGATATAATGAAATAAGAACAAACTGACAGTGACAGTGCTTGCTGCATGGTGACAGCGTGAAGCCAAATATTCATACGCCAGTAAGTTTTTAAATCTAGTTTGTCGAAAATTCTCATTAAAAGAGAACAGAGGAAATTGGATTTCGGAATATTAAACAGACTGCAATAAAATAACACAAAGTGAAACTGAAGGCGGCAGTAATGCTAACTATATACCTCATTAATTCAATAATTGTTCAAAATTTTTACTTGACCCAAGTATAACAATGTAGATATTTCAATTTCGTGTGTAACAACCTGATATTACGATATAATTTTATTATATATTATTATTTTATGATTTATTTTTTGATGATTTTATGTGTATGATTTTACAATACAATGGAAGGTGCAAAAGGTTTAATCCAGGTGGAAATACCAAATCAGCAAATATTACTTCAATCGCCCAAACAAAATAGTTAATTAATTGAATGTCCAATTCTCACAGCAGGTCTTTGGAAGCATGTTGAAGGGAGCCCACCGGACACATGTATCACCGACACCTACATATTAGCATTTAGCAGGTACTATAACACAGATGTGATGTGATTACGGTAACCGTGTAAGCAATACGTTATTCAAACAGTGAAAACGCTCGCATCCTCGGCCGTATTTAACCCACTGGCAGCCAGATGAGACGGGATACTAGAGAAGCGTTGCTGAAAGGAGGTGTTGATCCGAAGCGCTAAGCGCATATCTTGCGCGCAGTTCGCGCGCCAGTTCGCGGCAAGGCGCACGCGACCGCGGCGAACGTCCTACGACAGTATGCAGCGCTGGCAGCTATGGATCCGTGCGCCGAATGAATTGGCGGGCACAGCGGATCCATAGCTGCCAGCGAACAGTCCCGCAATTTTAGTGGGGGAACACAGAGGGTAGACATTTGGGAACGTGAACAGTGTTCACTTGTTATAAAAACATAATTGTCTCTCTTCGTAACGAGTCTGTGTGACGCGAAATCACAGAAAGACTGACGAAATTCTCGCGTTCGCGACCTTGCCCAGTAATGGAAATGGCTGCAAGGACAAGGCTATATAGACTGGGACTCGCGCTCCCACCGTCGATTACCAATCGAGTGACTAAGCTAAGCCGAGAACACGTAGCAATACATTGACACCAACGCGCACAAACACATACATCGCAATACATCGTATTATATATGTTAGAGACATCTAGGCTATAGGCAGTAAAAATAACCTGTATATAAATATAATTGGACAATTCAGGGTTTATTCATTTCTGTATTACATGAGCCATTATGAATTAGTGGTTAATTTACGGTCCAGTACACTTCCTAACTTAGCTATCAGTCTATAATATCAGTTTACAGCAACTGCGCGTACACTACACCTACTTGCAAGTACAACTTCCCGTCACTGATGATAGTAATGTAAATAACCGACAAGACTGTACATAATGCAGTGTATGACTGCAAGTCTGGCACTGCAAGATGAAGGCTGCACTGCAAGATCATAGATAGATTCGACATACACACGACTACGCGACCACCGCCCGGTATGTAAACAAATTTGTAAAGCTGCATCTACGCTTGTTACATACTTATTTATAGTCGTTAGTCTGCTCCATAACAAAATTCGACTTTCCTTTAATTAGATGACCTTCGATGAAAAAAATTTCAAGTTTGCGGCTCGTCATTATTTAACGAATGAAACGACGAACAATAAGAAACTTTTGCCATGGTTATAACATATAGACGCCATGCTATCAATCCATGTGCATATATAGACTGGTACGTTCGTCGACAGTTCCACACGCCTACACTACGTGAGTGTAGCGATATGCGGAGTAAAGGTGGCAAACGGGTACCAGTTACTATGCCTATAGCCTCGGCGTTCGTTGCGCCGTCTATCGCACGCCATATGTACTAGCACTCATCAAGGAAACAAACAGAAGAGAAAGTGCAAATACGTTTTTTACGAGCAAACCGAGGCCGCGCCAGAGTCGCCAAAAAGTTATACGAGCATTTCAAGCAAATGTCAAGCTACAGTGGGTAGTGAAATCCGTCGTCCAATCGCCAGAACTGCTCAACTCAGCGAACTTGCTGCTTGCCTTATATATGTAAACCCGTTGAAGTGATGGAATGGGGGCAGCGAAGTCGTGTTAGATTGCCGCCAGCGGCGTTTGCGCGCTTCGCGTGGATATCCGGCTGCAGACTGTCAAGAACAAGTCGGCACTGCTCAGCTACAACACACACGCGCGCGCATTGACTATATATAACAACATATATATACTACAATATATAACTACTATATAACAATATATAACAAAACTATATATATGTTGTTATAATATAGTCAATGGCTGCTGTAGGCTGCAGGTGCCGACTTGTTCTTGCTGCCAGCTGATTTAACCAGCGTGGTTCAAGCGTTTCGCAAATCGCGCGCATTCTCTTCTTTTTCATCAAAATACTTTACGTCTGAACCGGCATATTTGACGCGGTAGCTACAACGCCAAGAGAGACGTTCGCGCTGCTCCTACGAACAGCGGATCTGCCGGTTAGGGTGAAAGGCTGACTGACGTATCGCAGATGGTGAGCAGGATTACCTGTGTGTACGCAGGCAGGCACACACACGCACACACACGCACGCACGCACGCACGCACGCACGGACACACGCACAGACCACGCACACACGCACACACGCACACACTCACACACTCACACACACCACACGCACGCCACGCACGCACGCACGCACGCACGTTACGCACCGCACACACACAACGCACACACACACATACACACGCGCACACACACACGCACACACGCACGTGCACGCACACACGCACACACCACACACACACACACACACACGCACATACACACGCACACGCACACACACACACACACAGCAGCACGATCAATACACAGCGCACACGACGCCACACTCACACTCACACTCACACGCGCACGCAGGCTGAACTTTACACTCATACCACGGTCATGGTGAACGCAACTGAGTTTCCACTACACAGCGGGCCCGCGGAGCGAACCAACCACCAATTTCCAAACACCACTGCGTTTCAACCTATGATTGTTTAACTGTATGTTAGTTAACTTAGTTTGTTAGTTTGTATAAGAGGAGCCAGCTATGGGAAATGGGACCGCGAGACATAGTGCGCGTGCCACCTGGATGGATACGAAAACAGATTTTACAGTGGAACAAAAAACACCAGTAGATAGAAACGAAGCCAGCAGACGAGCCGGTATGGAGCCGCTTTTAGACGATTCCTGTTTTATCATTATAATATATGATTCTAGACAACTACCCTGGACAACTACCACCGGAACAACTACCGCATCCAGGAAAATTACCGACCAGGAGAATTACCCACCCGGATAATTTCCCACCGCGACATATTACCCACCAGGACAATTACCCCCGCACAGCCACCAGACAATACCCACAGGACATTAAATACCCACCAGGACATTTACCACGCAGAATAATTACCCACCTAACCTTTCAATAAGAGAAAAAATTCCCCTTCCGTAAATTTTTGTCGCGCTGCAATACATAATGATAATGTATGTCTGGAAAAGAGAGAAATGCCTACCCCATGTTGTTCAGAGAACAGGGCGTCGATAATTGGGAGGGGGGAGTTGCCCCTACCCTACCAATAATGACGGAAATGTTGTATCCCTAAATGATCTTGCTCTTGGCCATGTACGTTGTTATGTAAGCTGTTTGTGCGTGTGTGCGTATATATGTGCGCTGGCGTGTGTGCGTGGTGCGTGCGTGTTGGTGCGTGCGTGTGTGTGTACGTGAGTAAAATAGACTGATTTACAAGAATTTATTACAAGTGTTAATGTGTGAAGTGGGGGGGGGGCATGCCCCCCGAAAAATCTTTTTTATTTTGATGCAAAATGGTGCCAATTTGACTGCATTAATTCTAAGGTCGTCTTATCTGCATTTTTTCCTAGCTTATATTTTAGTAGGATCGATGATATTTATCACCAATTTGACCACATGGCAA